TCTCTCAACATGCACAACACGGTTCCTATGGACAGCAGTCAGTAGTACTTTTGCTACTGACCTGGTACTTCAGGCCTCATTGGTTGCAATATGGCTTAGTTAAACAAGTTATACATCAACTGAATGAGATATGGTGTGTTTTAGCCATCCATCAGGCATCCATGGTAAATCCTAACAGTTCAGATCCATCCATCAGGCATCCATGGTAAATCCTAACAGTTCTGATCCATTTGTGAGGTCCATGCACTGACACTTTGTGAGCCTCAGCTGTCCCCCTCGCACGGGATAAAGCTAGTGCTAAAGCTTCAATACATCACTGCTCTTTCTCTTTGCTGAAGCTGTTCCCTACGGTGAGGCTTTTTCCCACCCATCACCTGAGGTTATTTCTTCAAAATAACCCTAAAAGATAACTTGCCCAAAACCCTTTTCAGATTCTCCCAGCCAGACAGTTTCTTCCTACTTGAAACTCTTACCACAGTGGGAGTCTTCAGTCTCTTGTCTCCCACTCTAAACCAAAACTGTTCATATGATGCTGTTCCAAAAGCTCAAGTTTTGAGCATATGTCCTAAAGACAGACCCCCATCCTGCTGCCGCCACCACAAAAGCCCTGCGGCTTAAATCCCACACCTGTCTCACTAATTTAGATGTTAGGCAGTAAGTAAATCACCATTCTCACTTAGCCTCAGCCCGCTCTTCAGAGGGCTTTGCTCAAAGTCTGCCTTACAGGAAACACTTGGTACAACCAACAGAGTTATTATCATCACTGAGCCCCAATAGCAGGTGTGAGACGACCGTTATGTCAGGCACCATCCCAACAACGGTGCCTGATATGCAGAAAGCATTTAATAAATATTTATTGACTAACCTAGACAAATGATTCATGAAGCCTCATTGAGATTTTAAAGCAAATAAATGAAAAGATCAATACACAGTTCGCAGCTTGCATGAAATTTAAACGATCCAGTACACACATAACATCCGAAATAAACGCAGAGTGCAGGCAAGGACACAGCTTGCCTTGGAAACTACTTCCTAGTGTGGAAAAGGTCAATTAACTTTGCACATGTTCCTTCATACCTGCCTCCTTCCTGCCTCCCTCCACCATTCCTCCTTCCTTCTCTCTGTCTCCTTCTGAGCTAACTTCACTTCTAAAGGTATTGCTTTCACGAAGAAAATCAACACTTTGCACGGGTTTAAAACGGCAACTAGCTAGTTTTCTTATGGTTCAAAATCCTGTCCACAAATACTTTATTGCTCTATAGAACTTGATATAAAACCCTTAGGACAAAAAGTGAACTCTGTACGTTTAAATAGGCTTCAACATTCCTTTCAGAGTTTAGATAATAGTCATTCTCCTTCAGGCATTTGCATTAAGGGAGAAAATGGCAAAAGCAGAAACACAGGCAGGCACAACAGTGCTCACTAGAGAGTTCCCTAAGTCACAGGACATGTCTTCGGCAGGAAACTGAGTATTCCAAAACTGGCTACCCAAACAATTTTAGGGATATGTAATTTACGTGTGATTTACGTAAATTACATATGTAAAATACCTGTGACATAAAGTAGTTTATCTCAATATTCAGACTTTTCCCCCTGGATGACAGTATCAAACACTGTGCTATCCCTGACCCCTGAAGTTTTAAATATTTATAAATTATATTTAAATATTTGAAAGTATAAATTAACTTAAATATGTGTTTTAGACACTTTATAGCCACAGTTAGGATCTATATGAATGATCACAGAATGTGTCTGATTGAAAAGCTGTCTTCTTTGAAGTTCACTACCATCACATTCTAACACTGGAGACTGTCCATGAAGGGTCTGTTTGCAAACTGACCTGCCTAAAGTCACAGCTAGTCCTTGAAATATCATATGTCACAACTGTCTTTAGAGAAATCAACCTAAAACTAGTAAGGGTAGTCCTAGTGGGAAACATCTACAAGCTTTCAATATATATGTATATATTGAATATATCCTTAAATTAAAACATATTATTAAATATGTACTTTCCACAAAAGTCTGATTGTTAATTGTATTTTAAGTTCTTGCCTCCTTGATAACAAGTGTTTTCTGACATTAATCAAACTAAGCTGAATCATAAATAGGCCTTACTATCATAAAATGTTGGCTAAACAACAAGCATATTTAATAAAAGTTTACATGTAAGTTTGTAATGTAGCAGTCATAACTTAAGGCACATTTTTACTTTAGATAATTAAGCAAACCTAATTTCCCACAGGATACATTCAAAGGTACCCACATAAATGTCAAACCTTTTGCAATCTGTGGCATGTAGACCACAATGGGAGACAGCTAAAGTTCTTGTCTGTGTGGCCGCATGCACAGAGACCAAACCTGTGCAGCAGGAGAGCTGGCCACAGCCTGTCAACACGCAGTCTTTAATAAGGTGAGAATGCTTTGCATTGCTGGAGCTTCCCTGTTTGGTTGGTTCCAGACCCAGGAAGGACGGTAACATACACCTGGCATAGGCACAGCCAGAGAGCAGACCATAATCATGCAAAACTGACCCCTTCACCTGGTGACAAACTTCATGAGCATGAACTTGGCCTAATTTGTTTCATTTCTCACCAACTAAACTAATTCCTCTTCAAAACAGAATTATACACATTATCCAACATTCCAGAGTTTCTGTTCTTTCAATCCAAATTTCACTACGGAGTTTCCAAAATATTTCCTATCATGAGGGTGGACAGGCATATATGAAAATGCTGTCATAAAAATCCATTCTTCTGTACAACTTCCAAATAATATGATTATAAAACTATTTCCCATCATGCTATAGATACAGAGATGTTTTATAGTAACAACCATCAGGAAAATATTTCAAAAACATTAGCATATGTTCAGGGACCTTAGGCTTGGTACCTGTTACTAATTTTGAAGAAAAATCTGAAGGAGATTGGAACGCTCACTCAAAACACAAGTGCAACAAGGAAATTGTCTTTTTAAAACTTAGACACAGGAACTTTCAAGATAGGTAATTAGCAATACAGCCATTTGTCAATCAGGGTGAGAGCTGGGTAGCTTAGAATCCAGGCGTCTGGAATGGCTGGCATTCATTATGCTATGGGTAAATGACAGTCATCATTTCTTCATTTGTAGAATGGAACAGTTGCCTGACCTGTCTAAGAGCCCTTCGGAGTTTGAAACACTAAGGATTCATGCATCTGTACATATATAAACCATATCGTACACAATTTTAAGTCTAGGTTTTCTTTTTAACCCATGGCAATCACCGAGCTGCTAAGATGTTCTCAGATAAAACACACAATTTAAAAGCCTGCCTTTTTAAATCCAGTCTCCAAGGACAATGCAAAGGTAATTGTGTGAGCCCTTCAAGGAGCTGTTTTCCCCATCTGAGAGGAGACTGTAGCACAGGACAGCACAGGGCTTCTTAAGCTACCCATTTCTAACACACCTCTGCTGTGCCGCTAAAACCTTCTAAGAAGAAATTATTAACAATTTTGTACGTTATCCACAAATGGAATTTCCTGCCTTTTCTCCCCAACCGGATTTAATGAAGTTTGTCTTCCTGATGCTGCTCCAAAGGCTGGACAGCTAGGGAATTTCAGAGCAAGAACACCTAGCTCTTAGCCTTGCAGATACTCATAGCATCTGTTATCGAAGTCTTTGGAGAAAAATCAAATGGAAAATGGAAATGACATGGAGGATGAACTCCAGCAAACTTGAATAGCAAAGCTTCTAACATCTTCAACAAAGTGAGCTTCTCATTAGATCCCGGGGCCAAGGGAGAAGAAGAAATTGCCCAAGGAAGAAAGTCATGGATTGGTTGCCTTCTTCTAAGCCACTTCTAAGATGGTAAAGTAAGGTGTAGGTGATTTTTATTTTAATACTGCAATGAGCTTTTATTCACATTCCCTGTCAATCATGATCTTTCATGAGAACTTACTAATTGTGAATCACCATGCATTTCCAACCCAGCCTTCTGGTTCATCTTTTAGTCTGGAACTTTTCTTTCTTAAAACCAACAAACGAAATTAACCCACCAAACGTGTTTCAAAGCCTCCCTCTGTTGCAAGAAAAATCTTAATAGATTGCCAATGACTTGCACTCAGGGCAACCAAACTGACAACAAAAATTGATGCTGAAGAGTGAATGTCACCAGAGAGCACTAATGTGGGGGCAAATAAAATCTTTGTTTCAATTAACTAGAAATGTATTAGATATTCAGATAGTTTTTCCAATTAGGAGATTAAAAGATGTGTTTCTCTTTCTTCAAAGGAAATTTGCTAAGGATAAAGGATGTCTGCTGAACACTTACCTCCTGTGATAAAGTAAAATAACAGCCAAAATTTTGTTTTAAAATGGAATGTTGTAGGTTTCTAAGAACAGTGTATAATGGTAAAGAACAGTATTTATAACAAGTGTGATTATTTTAAATAAAGTCACAATTTTTTGTTTCACATTTCCCATAATGCATATTGTATTTATATAGCACTTGTCTTCTGAGGAACTTAGAAGGCCTGTGAGCTTCTAAATATCATGTACTATGACCATACCAAAGAAGGCTCTTCTACTACATCAGCAGGTTCATGCATGAGAGGACAATGGGGGTGGGGTGGGGGGAAGAACAACTGTAAAACAGCCACCTCCAAACAGGAAATCATCTTCATTTGATCAGATTCATCACTGCTTTGGGAGTTGATAGAAAAAAAAATAAAAATAAAAACCAATGAGCCTACAGAGTTCCTGAATCTTCAATAATGCACAAATTTTAACTGTTCAATTATCAGGTGGCAAAGAAATATCCTTGTAATACAGGCTCTATCAGTACTGTACAATACACACACACACACACACACACACACACACACACACACACACACACACACACAAACCTGACATCAATATCTCATTTCTATTATTTATGAGGTATCTTTACTGTTTTTGGCAGACTAACATTTTCATTATTCTTTGAAAATAATGGCTGGCAGCCAGTTTGTAAACACCACATAAACACTTAACATGTTTAATGAAACTCTAAGTACCATAGCCTTTTACTCAGGTAATTATAGGAACAGAAATATTACCCATAAATAATGAAGACTATTTCACAAAATAAGCTATACAGAGCTGAAGGTCCTAAACCCCCATATTCTGACTAGACTATATAACCAATTCTGAATAACAAACAGATTCACATAGTTTTGAAAAATTCTGAATTCAACAGCAAGAAGTAGTCTGCAAAAGAGTTTATCACTTAAGGTACGAGCTACTCTACTTAAAAATAGCAAAGTGTAAGTTTTATTTCAAATGTAAAATCCTGTAGACATGAATCACTTAAAAGGAAAACAGGTCCTGAAGTTTACTGATGCAAGTGTCCTCCTATTTTAAGTTGGGGAATAATGGCTAAATTTAAGTTCCTTTATTTACTGACTTGGAGACAGATTAATGGAATTTACTGTTTACCGTAACTGGCCAATGCGGACAGGGGGCGGGGGATTAGAGATGTCTAGAAAAGTAAAGGACAACAAGAATATTAATGAAGAATTGCTATAATTTATATCTAAATATAGTTTTTTTCCTTATGGGGGTATATACACTTCCATCGTGCTCAGGGCTTAGCCTTTTTAAAAAAGCCCTCAAATTCTTAAAATACTGAGCATAAAAACCCAATAATTACTTATGACACTTGTTCCTAGATACAAATATTTATCTCTGGTCATTTATTTAAGCTTAAATGCAGTCATGGTAATTTTAAAAATACATTCTTTGGTCCACTTTGAATTTTTTAAAAAATATTCTCATGACTCTGACTTCTGATTTGTGACCTCTGAAAATATTTTGTGTTTTAAAATATTTTATTCTAGAATATTTTAAGATACTTCATTTTCACACATTTGTTGCCACTTCAGCTCACACTTGGCTCTAAAATTCCACGGAGCAACTTCATTCAGTTTTAATATTATTTCTGTCGTAACAACGTCATTAGTCTATACAAAGTGGCAGCTGTGAGGCGTTTACCGTAAAGAACTCTTTACTATTGCCAGCTTCACAACGCTGAACACCATTAACTTGGGGACCTTTAATAGTCTGGCCCTGTAATAATTTTAATTCTATTGAAGCCCTAAAAGAATCCACCATTTCAGCACTATCGTGTCAATGTATATAAGACACTGCTCCAGTTTGGTCTCAGGTCTGCTGACTAATGATTTCTCATCTGAACCAAGACCATTCAGTATCATTGCCTTTAATCCTCGCTTCAAAATACCAAACTTGAACACATCAGGCTTCTTTTCAGACTCTTTATTGATTTTTTTTTTAAACAATCCAGTCTGTTGGATCTCAATGCAGTTTATAAAAAAAAAAAAAAAACAAAAACAAAAAACGGAAAAACCCTTAGGTCAGTTTCCTATAAACTGCAATCAAAAAGTAATTTAGTTTGTCAAAGAAGTTATCTGAAGTTGCAATTTTTCTTTAATATGCAGAACAGTAAAATGTAAGCATGCTCTCGGATGCAGGCGCACCTGTGCACTAGGTTCTATGGAAGAGCTTGCTAAGGTCTGCAGGCAGTTTAGGGATGCAATTATTTTCTCCATAGTTTATGTAGATGAGGATGAAACTCATATTTATGAAAAAAGTATTTTTCTCAAAAAACTTGAGGCAGCTTCCGTTGAATGCTATCTGTGCTACAACTTGAACTGAATAAAGGAAGAGTCCATGTCCATGCTGGAACTTTTGGGGGAAAAAAAATCCCTCCGCAGGCATCGAGGAGTACTGAAAGGAAAAGGGTAAATAAACACTGTATGCACAGTTGTTCATGTTCTTACATTAACAGAACACACCAAGAGTTTTACATAACAAGGAAGCAAAATCCCTTCACTGCTTTCAGTCAAAGTCATTGGTGTCCATGGTGGAGGGTGGAAGTGGAGCAAGCCTAGTAAAGAAAGAACAAAAAAACAAAACAAAACATAAAAACTTGAAGTCTACACCTCATGCAGAGCTGTCCTTGACCAGTCCTGCTTCTCAGACATCCGAGTTGGAACTGAGGTTTGTTAACCTGGGGTCCGCATTGATTTCGTATCTGTAATGATACCCTTCCATGTGATCCCTGCAGGCATCTCTGATGTTATGCATCCACTTTTTAATGCCTTTACGGTTCAAATACAAAACGAGGAGGAAAATAGCGCCTATCAGAGCTAAAACAATACCTAGGAAGACATAGGAAGTCTGCAGGGATGGGGGAAGGATAGCGTCACAGTCCAGGTCAGAGCTGTTGAGGTCCAAGAGGGCACGATTCCTCATTTTTTCTGGGAATGCACAGGTGAGCCTGGCTTTATCCGGCACCACCTCTGTCTCTTTAAGCCAGGCCACCATGTCAGCCATGTAGCAGTCGCAAACCCAGGGATTGTTGTCCAGGTACACCTTGACATGAGCCAGGCCTTGCCATTCGGCCAAAGTGGAGTTGTGAAGGACCTTGAGGGCGTTGTCCTCCAAGTGGAGTTTTTCGAGGTGTGTCAGGTTGCGAAAGGATGCATAGGTCAGGCTCACCAGGGAGTTGTTCCGAAGGTCCAGGTGCTTGAGACTGGGCAGCTGGGCTAGTAAGTCCCGAGGCAGGTAAAGGAAGTGATTGCTGGCCAGCTCCAGGTGATGAAGCCCTTGCAGCGCAAGGCCTGAGCGCAGGGCAGCTGCCACCATGCCCTCGAAGGCCACCATGCCCTCGAAGCTTCCATTCTGCCGCTGATCCTCAGGGGGCACGATGTGGTTCAGGATCAGCTCCACCAGGGAGCTGGGGGCCGAGACGCTGGCGTTGCTGCCCGCAAAGGCGAAGGCGCTGAGGTTGGTGAGAGGGTTGTGGCTGAGGTCGAGGTGGCGCAGGCCCGGCAGATGGTCGAAGGCACCCGCACACACCTCCTTCAGGTGGTTGCCACTTAGGTTGAGCGTTTCCAGGTCCACCAGAGGCGGCCGCCGGGCGAAAGCGCCAGCCGGGAGGACCGTCATCTGGTTGCCGGTGAGGAAGAGGTTGCGAACATAAGAAGGCAGATCCCCGGGCACCTCCATCAGGTTGCGGTTAACGCATTTGACTGTACGCGCCGCCTCGGAGCACTCGCACGCCGCGGGGCATCGCTCGGCTGGTGGAGGCTGCACAGACCCCGAGGCCAGGAAGGCCACCGGGGAGGTG